TGGCTTCCTCCGTCACTGAAGCAAGCAAGCCTCCTGTTTGCTTCAAGCTGCCTGGCTGCTGGCCGCCATCTTGGCTGGCAGTTAATTTGCATATCGCCCTGATTAGCCAATGGGAAGGGTAGCGGAGTGACACCAATTTGCATGTTTCTCTTTTATTAGTGTAGATATGCATTACCTATGGGCACAGGCAATAGGGTGGTGAAAGCCTGGGGCTGGGTGGAAACCAGGTGGAGTGGGCAATGGGAGGAAAAAAGGGGGACATCTGTAATATTCTCAATAATAAAGATTTTAAAAAGCAAAAACAAATGTTGGTAAGGATGTGGAGAAAAGGGAACTCTCATGTACTCTTGGTGGGAATGTAGATTGGTACATCCACTGTGAAAAGCAGTATGGAATTTCCTCAAAAAATTAAAAATGGAGCTGCCTTATGACCCAGTGATTCCACTTCTGGGAATTTATATGAAGAAACCCGAAATACCAATTTGGAGGAATATATGCACCCCTATGTTCATTGCAGCGTTATTTTACAATAGCCAAGATTTGGAAGCAGTCCAAGTGTCCATCAGTAGAGAGTGATTAAAAAGATGTGGTACATTTACACACTGGAATACTACTCGGCTGTAAAAAAAGAAATATTACCTTTTGCAACAGCATGAATGGACCTGCAGAGCATTATACTAAGTGAAATAAGCCAATCAGAGAAAGACAAGTACCGTATAATTTCACTCATGTGTAATCTAATGGATAAAATGAACTAACAAGCAAAATAGGGGAAGAATTATAGAGAGCAGGCTGATAGCCGTCACGGTGGGATTGAGCAAAAAGAAAAAAAAATCATGGGCATGGACAACAGTGTGGTGATTTCTGAGGGAGGGGGAGAGAAGGAGGAGGCTATAGGGGAGTAAATGGTGATGGATGGAGACTTGACTTGGTGAAGTGAACACAATACAGTGTATAGATGATGTGTTGTAGATGTGCACCTGAAACTTGTATAATTTTTGTTAACCATTGTCACCTAAATAAATTCAATAAAAAGGAAAAATAATCCTAATCTATAAATTGAGTTTAATAATAGATTCAGTAATTATTTCCCACTTTATATTAGGGGTTGATTAAATCATGACATAAATCTCATTATGATATATCTCATTTGATACATTTTTTGAAGTTTATTTTTTTCAGTAGCATTTTCCTGAAATCATTTTTACTTTTATTACTTTTTGATTATGTAAATGACTACAAATAAGATACATAACTTTATTTTCAAGGCAGTGATAGTAAAGTAAATGTGGTTTAAACATTAACAATTGGTGTTTATTTTTTTCCATAGCCTAATTTTTTTTGACATTTGTTTTTATTTTATTTTTTTAAAAATTTTGTTTTATTGCTTAAAGTATTACAAAGAGTATTACATATGTCTCCTTTTTTTTTCCCCCTTGACCTTCCCCCAGCCTCCCCTACCCCCCAGTGTCTTGTGTCCATTGGTTATGCTTATATGCATGCATACAAGTCCTTCGGTTGATCTCTTACTCCCCTCCCTTCTGCCCCCCAACCCTCTCTGGCCTTCCCGCTGCAGTTTGACAATCAGTTTGAGGCAGCTCTGCCTCTGTATCTATTATTGTTCAAAAGTTTGTAATGGTCTTTATTATCCATGAATGAGTGAGATCATGTGGTATTTTTCCTTCATTGACTGGCTTATTTCACTTAGCATAATGCTCTCCAGCTCCATCCATGCCGTTGCAAATTGTAAGAGTTCCTTCTTTTTTACAGCAGCATAGTATTCCATCGTGTAGATGTACCACAGTTTTCTAATCCATTCATCTACTGATGGGCACTTAGGCTGTTTCCAGATCTTAGCTATGGTGAATTGTGCTGCTATGAACATAGGGGTGCATATATCCTTTCTGATTGGTGTTTCTCCATAGCCTAATTTTTGATTTATTAATTTTTTTAATTAAATTTACTGGGGTGACATTAGTTAATATGATCATTTAGTTTTCAGGTGTGGGTTTCTATGTTACAAGATCTGTATATTGCACTGTGTGCCCACCACCCAAAGTCAAATCATCTTCCGTCACCATATATTAGTCCCTCTTTACCCTCCCACTCCTACCCCCTTCCCCTGGCAATCACCATACTGCAGTTTGTGTTCACTAATTTCAGTTTTATATCCCACATATTAGTGAAATCATATGGTTAATAGTGAAATCATATGGTTAATCATATAACAGAATGAAAAGCATTCTGTTCTGATTTACATTTTAGTGCTGAGAAATTTTCATTTTTGTTTGTTGTAGTTGTAGCAAGAACAGTATGTCCTCCTATGGGGCTTCAATGAGGGTACCAATTTATAGATCCTTTTGGATATGTTTCAAAATTCAATATTTCTTTATGATGTTACAAATGAAGGTAGGAGGAAGGTAGAGACATGGATGTAGCAAACAATACAACTGTATATATCTTTTTCCGTTCATTTTCATACAACATTACTCACTGTGTTTGTTTGGTTTTTGTTTGGTTTCATAAAGGGTCTGAGTATTTAGAAAGGTCCACACCATGTCCTATTGGAGATTGCATTGTTAGGTTATGAGAGAAGAAAATATTATTTGGCTTTGGAGTTTTCCTGTATAATTATAAGAGGAATTTCCAAATAACATAGTCAGAATTTATAATAACTTTTCCAGATGGTGATTGTTAAACAATAATTGAAAGCTGCTGTAGGAAATAAAACAGTATTTTGCATTAAGTAATCATTTAGTCGACGTTGGTTAAACCGAAGAACATTTTACCAGATAGCTAAGTGCTCTTCTCATAATTCAGAACCATACAGATTTTAACTCTTCTAGGCCAAAAATAAGAGAACTGCTCTTCAAAATGAATTTGATTATAACTTTTAGAAAAGTTAACAGTAAAAATTGTTTAGTTTTAAAGTTAAACACTTTGAGACATAAGCAGTTCAAGAAGTAATTTTCCTAACCCAACATAAATTCTGAGGTCCAAATCTAGCCAACTCAGCCAAGCTGTTGCTCATTTTGCATTCTGTCATCACCCGTTTATTGCACTTGGGGAGGTAAAAAGAACAATTGCTTCTCACTTATTTCTATGACTTACATAAATCCTAGACTCTCCAATAAAATAGGCTACAAGGGACCAGCTTCGTTTATGTGCTGAGTGTGTAGCTCATATTCATCCTGAGTTTAGTGTTTACTGTGTCAGAATTATGTGTAGCCATCTAATTTGGGCTATTCGGTTTGCAATTATAAACTTGATGGCAGGTTTCTTAAATATCTGTGTGTTGTTGTTGTTGTTTATTTTTTTTAAAGAGATTTCCCAAAGTTGCAGATGGCTGGCTCATCTCCAAATACCTCTTCAAGGTACTCTATGCTGGTGATGTCTCCCGCCACTGAGCTGCGCGGGAGCATGGAATTGACTTACTGGGGAGGGCTGTATCAGTTAAGTGATCTTTTTTAGTACATTGCATGGGATTTTGCAAAGCTTTCTGTTTTTGTTTTTGTTAATTTAGAGGACACAAGTATGCTTATGCTAATTTTTTAAGTAATAGCTTGTTGTAAACTCACACAATATAATAATTCATTTACTCTCCTTCCTCTCCATGTGACTCCCCTCCGTATTTCTCTTAAACTCCATGGTTTTAAGTACTATTTTATTAACCAAGTATGTATATCTGTGTTATTTATATTTTATTAGAATGCTTAATGATATATGATTTATTGGTTATTTCCTCAATTTTGTAAGTGCTGTGTAATAATATTTGTATTACATGCGAACCAGGGCCTCAGGGAAGCTGTGTGAATTTTCAAAAATCACTCAGTAAAGCATACATGGGCACTATCCACAATACCTGCTTTGCCATTCTTTAACCATTAGTGGGACTGTATTCCTTAGTTTCCTTTCTCCCAGGTAGAGTGCATACTTCTTATTCGTTTAGTCAAAATACTTCTATTGAGTTTCTGCTGTGTGCAAAACACACTGCTGGGCCTCTGCACTTATGACCTAGCCTTTTACTATATGTTTTAATTAGAAAATAAATTTTCTAGTGTTTCAAAGATAATACTAAGATAAAGAATAGAATGTAGAAGAGAAATATCTTCTCATTTCCTCAATCCTAATTCCCACAAATAATACTTTTTAAAAATTTCTTTTATGTTCCCTATGTATATGTAGCCTTAATCACTATTGAAATAAATTATGCTTGATTTCTTTAGGTCTGCACTTTTTTTGTGTGTTAATCCTCACCTGAGGATATTTTTCCATTGATTTTTAGAGAGAGTGGAAGGGAAGGGCAGAGACAGAGAGAGAGAAACATTGATGTGAGAGAGACACATTGATTGGTTGCCTCCCAAACGAGTCATGACGCATGTCGAGGCTGCAACTGAGGTATGTTCCCTTGACTGGAATTGAACCTGAGATCCTTCAGGCCGACGCTCTATCCACTGAGCCAAACTGGCTAGGGCTAGGTCTACATGTTTCTACATAGCTCTCTGTATGGACCTCAGCCGTTGGTACTTTAATTAAATCTGCCAGTATTCTAAACCTTATATTAAAAAAGCTGGTGGAAGAAAAAAACACACAAAACTCTTGTATTCTACTTGGAAAGATGGTCAAATTACTGGGATAAGTAAACCTATTAAGTCAAATTCAGTTTTCAGATTTTCAGGTGAACTTATCTTAATTTTTGGTTTTGGAAGATTAATATTTGACTCACTTTTATTGTATAGGTACATACTTTAGACATTTGTTTTAGGTATCTGTGATAAATTTCTTAGCAATGAACAAGACATTAATTGTTGCAATAAGGGATGATAATTACATTTTATAGATTAGTAACTGACTCATATTTGCTAAATGATTTCCTGAAGCATCCTGTAAGTAACATACAGAACTAGTAATATAAATACAATTACCTAGTCAAGACTCAGACTTCTTCTTAAGATTCAGTATAAAGTTTAAAGTTATTTTTAAAGTTTTTAACTTTATCTTTTTTAGAACATTAATATATTTTATGTAGAATATTATTCAAGATAATAATTTTATCTTCAAAGCTGGATGAATGGTCTAATAAATATGAATCTCAACTAATAATGCTACTTTATTTATTTATTTTGTTAATCCTCACCAGAGGATATATTATGAAGTGATACCAATTAATCTTGTCATTGAGAGAGAGAGAAACAGCAATGTGAAAGATACACATTGATTTGTTGCCTCCCACACACGCCCAACTGGGGCCAGGGATCAAACCTGCAACCAAGGTATGTGCCCTTGACTGGGAATCCAACCCGAGACTCAGTGCACAGGCCAGGATGATGCTCTATCCACTGAGCACACTGGCCAGGGTTCCACTACCTTTTTTAAAAGGAAAAGATTCTAACCTCTTACAGAAATGGGAATTTTCTCTGTTTAGTAAAAAGGTAGTGGAAAATATCAAACCGATTTTGTAAGTTAGCAATATGAAACTTAGGGCTGTTGTTACAAAATTTAAAGTGAAAAGTTTAATATCTAAATATTAATATATTGCCAAAAATAAACCCACAAGTAATCAATTTCCTTTAAGCATCTGAAAACATTTGCAGTGATATCAGAGTGATTTATTAAAATTTGATGTGACTGTTTTTATTACTTGTCTATATGAATAGTAGCTACAAGGCAATAGTCTGATATTATCATCTAGGTGATATATTACAATGCTGACAGAACTTCACCTTGTGAGAACAGTTTTCCATTCGTAGTTAAGCACTAATAAAGACTGGAGAAAGGGAGTCATTTAACATATTCATTTATTTTTATATTATCAAAAGATTATATGCCATTAAGCACTACTTCATTAAATAAACACTTATAAGCCAAACACAAACATATTGCATGAAGTGAATAGGCATTTGACTTAACTAATGGAGAAGAGTAATTTTAGAATAATATTGGATTCCAAAAAATACATACTAATTTTAGGTGCAGAAGTGAGGCAGTTTAGTGGGAAAGATATTACATAGCTTGTTAGTAGCAGTTCACCTTTTAGTTCATCTGTACTGTACTGTATACTGATTGCTGTACCCACATTTTCACCACTTATTTCTGTGCATGAAACAAATTAGAGTTGGATTAATGGAATGGAAGTAAATGTCAAAAGCTTGTTTAACTTTGTCATTGGTAAAAAGTCAACTTCTAAGAATATATATAATTGAAAGCATATTATATATCTATACTCATCAGAGCTTTAAAAAGAGAATTTTTAATGACAGCATATTTCTTCTCTGGAATAAAATTTATTCGAGATACAGTAGTGTCTTGTAAAGTGATTTGCTTTTCTGGTTATTTTTAAAGGAAATGGAATATCTTGGAAATGATTATCTATTACACTGGTGGTTTTTAAAGGCACAATCAGATTGTAGTGCTTTGTTTTGTTTTAATATTCCTGTTGAATACTGGTTACAGACTAAGTACAGTCTTTTGCTAGCAATTAATCTGTTTAAGTAAGAGTGGTATTCAAGTAATAATATTTCAAATAACCAATTGAATACTTCTATTATTTTTAAAATTTTTAATTGATTTTTTTTTTTTAAGAGAGAGAGAAATGTTGATGTGAGAGTGAAACATCAACTGTCTCCTGCACTCCCCCTACTGGGGATCAAGCCTATAACCTGGGCATGACCAAGAATCAAACCAACAACCTTTCAGTGCACAGGAAGACGCCCGACCAACTGAGCTACACTGGCCAGGGCAAACAATTCTAAATTATTTTAAACCAAATTCAACCCTTTTCATGGATGCAGAAATTATTTAATTACTTAAATAAAATTCTAGGACATGCAGACAATTTACATGAAAGTTTGTTTAGTGATTGTAACAAGGGAATCCACCTTCTCCTAATCAAAGCTGATCTTTTGAATGTGGACAACAATTCAGTGTCTTGATGTAAGGACTTCACATTGGAAATGATGCACATGGAAGTGTGGAGAAGGCAGAATCAAGCCAAATCCTCCTCACATCTAGTTGGTTGAGTAGACAGAGTATTATGAAGATACTAGTTTTTAAACCCTGCAAGTTATGCTAATATATCATTCTATTAATTGTTTAGTTTCTTAGTTTGCAATCTTGGAAATCTTGTCATGTCTTGGGTAAAGCCTTGTAGATCGCATATCCTACCCACAGCAAGAGTCCTAAGGATTTAGTGCCCATTCTTTCTCTGTTTAACCTAATTCCAGATTTTTTAGTTTTTCTTTATTTTCTTTTCTCTCCTCTAAAAATAGGACTTTGTTATATTCTTTTGGTTTTTGACACCTCTACTATTCCTATTTTTCCTTGACCATGTCAGACACATGAGGTTTAAAATAAAGTCATTAGAGAAACCTTGAGATTCTCCCTTTTTTAGGATCCCTGCCGTTGTTTAGTACTCTGTTTCTTGAGGGAGGACTGGCAGCTACACCTCCCTTTTTAAAATTATGGGATGATCCCAATTAATTAAGGTAAAGACAATTAGTTGAGACTAGATATTTTAGGGAGGCAAAATTAGAAAGGTTGATATGAGAAAAGGTTGGATTAGGGAATAAATTTTAAAGATTTTTTTAGATTCTAAGCAAGTTATGGGAAAAACTTTTAATTTTACATCTCATTCCCACTTTGTGGTGGAAGAGGAGCTTTGGTCCCTTAACTATTTGATAGTAGTAATCATAGTAGCAGTAATTGTTAACATCTGTACTGTACTGTATACTGATTGCTGTACCCACATTATCTCATCTAATCTCCAAGTGTTACCACATCGGTACTACAGCTATTGTTAATTTATAGAAGAAAGACTTATACAGTGAAGTCATTTGCTCAAGATCGCATAGCTAGAAAGTGATTTGACTTAAAACCCATATTCCTAACCACTAGGCACCCTGCTTCCTCTCCAAATGGCTATCAAATTGATGACATGAAAATTGCCCTAAAGACCAACTATATTGAGATACTGTTCTAGGAACTTCTTTAACTAAAGAAGAGAAGAAGCAAAGGACAGTAATGGGGAGAGATGAAGAAGAGATATTTTAAATACAGTATTCTTATAGATTTCTGTTTGTTGGTAGTAATATTTGATTTTTAAAGAGACATTTGAGTTATATATTTGAGTATTTGTAGATGCTTTTGTGTCTTATTTATATCTGTAAATATATTTGTTTAGAATATTTAGTATTTGTAATCTAGCATGGAGACATCTTGATACCAGATTGTCATTGAACTGTTACTATAAAAAGATACTAACTCAGATTTTTAAAATTCAAATTTTTATATAGTATTGCACTTAAGATGATCTGTTTTATGCTGATTTACCAGTTGTGTTGTTTAATAAATATTTATTGAATGCTTACTATGATCTAAGCACTGTGTCAAGTGCTAGAGATCTGTTTAAAGAAAAATAAGACACAATCCCTGCCTGAGCAGTTTTACCACCTAATATGTGAGACAATCAAGTGAACAGGTAGTTATAAGGATAAGTAAGCAAAGGGTGCCATGCCAGCACACAGGGGGGGACTAAATCACCATAGAGATCACACAGGGCTTATAACAGCGGTTCTCAACCTGTGGGTCGTGACCCCTTTGGGGGTCAAACGACCCTTTCACAGGGGTCGCCTAAGACCATCGGAAAACACATATATAATTACATATTGTTTTTGTGGTTAATCACTATGCTTTAATTATGTTCAATTTGTAACAATGAAAATACATCCTGCATATCAGATATTTACATTACGATTCATAACAGTAGCAAAATTACAGTTATGAAGTAGCAATGAAAATAATTTTATGGTTGGGGGTCACCACAACATGAGGAACTGTATTAAGGGTCAAGGCATTAGGAAGTTTGAGAACCACTGGCTTATAAGAACAGAAGGCTTTTAAAATATCCTGAAAGATGATAGGAGTTACCTATCGCAATATATAGGCTTTCTATTCATTGAGGAACCATAAGTATATTATTAGAAATATCAGCGGGGGGGGGGCGGCCTTTTAAAAATACCAATGCCTAGACCTGCCCCTAAAGATTCTGGTTATTTAGTTTTGGGGGAGCCCAGGCATGAGTATGTTTAAAAAGAAGCCCAGGTGTTTTTATGGGCTGCCATGGTTGGAAATCACATATCATTTCAGACACGGCTCCGAAAGTGGTGCTTGCTGACAACACTTTGATGTTGCTTAGAGAGAAGCTATTACTGGGGAAGGGAAGGTTTGAGATAAAAAAAATTAATTGAAACAGAGAAGTACAGATTTAAAAATATAAAAGCTAATATTTCTACATTAAGATTAAACAACTTACCCAGGTAAGATTAATTGAATAATGTATTAAGCTGTCTCTCATATTAAAATACTAAGAGTGCAAAATGGTTCCCATGGATCTGCTATTCAAAGTCCTGCATAGAAATAGCAATATTATGATACACAGAAAAGAATATTTGTTCATCAACAGACACATAATTGCTCAAATCTGAATGGTAAATTCCTGAAGGACTTTTCCCGGGTTGGTGACTAGAAGAGAGCAGATGAATGATAGTTACAGGGAACTTGTGGCTTTATAGATGAGAATGGGTGGGTACAAGATAATGAATGATTAGTCAATATAGGATCCTAATTGATTATATTTACTTATAGTTCTGACTACACATTTATTTCATTTCTTTGACGTATCTACATAAGAGAAGAAAAAAGGTTATATTTTTTACTTTTTTGTTTTTCTGAGTGGAGAAAGCTTTAGAATACAACTGGTGACATTTAAATTAATGCTTAACTAGAACCACTAGGAAAATTATCCATGTGATATATAAAAGACTATATTAGAATAATAGGATATTAAGCTGCAGTATGTTTTTTAGTAGACTCTTTTTACTTCATTTAGTTTGAATTCACTGTTGAAAAACTGTGATTGAGGTTCATTAAATAAATTTCCCAAGGTGACACAACTAGGTAAAGGTAGACCAGGACTAGATTTCAGGCTGATTAACATTGATATCAGTGTCCTTTCCATTATAGCACACCACACTGCCTTTTAATTTTCAGCGTTTTATTGTTCTTGCATGTTGAATTTTCTAGTCTAGTTTTCTTTTATTTTGTATTGCAATTTGTCTCCTGAAGGTCAAGTAACCTGGTTTGGTTATGAAAGTCCTCGTAGCTTCTGGGACTATATCAGAGTGGCTTGCCGGAAAGTTTCACAGAATTGTATCTGCAGCATTGAAAATATGGAAAATGTCAGTTCCTCTAGAGCTAAGGTAAGACAGAAATGACATGCAATGTATATAATCCGAAGCAGTCTTGACCCAATTAGAAAAGTTCAAGCTCTTTGCTATAAAACATTTATTTTCTTTGTTGGAATTAAGCACTTGATCAAATTTAATATCTTTCAGAGGCTTGTTTCCTTTTTTATTATATTTCATTATTTTAGAATGCTCTTGAATCTTTACTGTTGCTTTATGAATAGCAAGAAGGTATGAAGCCAGTCACTACTGAGAACAATGAAATGTGTCCTATTCTGTGAATTTTCTATATTTATTGAATTACCTAACCCAGTGACTCTCAGTGTCCAGCAGAACCCTGGGGGTCCAAAATGTCAAAACTATTTTTCATGTAATAGCAAAATGTTATTTGCCTTTTGCACTGTGTTGACATTCTTGTTGCTGGTGCAGAAGCAATGGTGGGTAAAATTGCTGGTGCCTGAGCACAAATTAAGACAATGGTATCAAACTATTATTAGTTATCATTGAGTTCTCCCCCACCATCAGCTCAGTCTTAAAAAAAAACAAAACACACACACACAAAAATAAAACACCCCACAGTCACTTAAAAATGTCCAGGACAATACAGTAAACATTATTAATTTTATTAAATCTCAACCTTTGAGTACATTGTAACAGATTGAATGCGAAGCAGATATGTAGTTCTCTTTTATTACGCCATGCATTAAGGAAAAATGTGAAAACAGCCACTTTTCTCACTAATATTTTTGTTTAGGAAAAGATAATTTTTCACAAAAATTTTATTTAAAATTAACATAGAATGGGTTTATTTTTTAATTAAAAATTTAAAAGTTTATAGTTTGGGCTTGTCATATAGTAAATATTAATAGGTACAACCTATATAAAGACTCTTTGGAGTCCTCAATAATGTTTAAGATTGTAAAATGTCAGAGCTGCTGATATAAACTATATCAGCTTCAGTTTAGGAGTTGATTTTTTAAAATTGGATTGCCCATAGTAGCTTTCCTTTCTGAATATATATATTTAAACCTTACCCTAGGATATTTTTCCATTGATTTTTTTTTTTAGAGAGATTAGAAGAGAAAGGGAAAAACAGAGGGAAATATTGATGTGAGAGAAACACATCGATTGGTTGCCTCCTGCACATGCTCCGACCAGGGCCTGGTAGGAGCCTGCAACTGAGGTCCGTGTCCTTGACCGGAATTGCACCCGGAACCCTTTGGTCCGCAGGCTGACATTCTATCCACTGAGCGAAACCGGCTAGGGCTCCTTTCTATTTTTGACACTTAATAATTATAGAATGAAACTAAGTAGAAAATAAAGGTTGAATATAGATATGTAAGGTTTTAAGATCAAGATATAATTCAGGTCATTATTTCATAATTATAAACTTACAAATTACATATCTGTATAATAAAAAAAAACATAACAATCATCTTTCAAATGTGTAGTTTCCAAATTTATTGTTCCTGTATCCATTTTTATTTAGGAATTCTTTTTTTTTTTTGGAAAATTTTTGGTTCACAAAATTGACTGATACATATTGGAATTAAAACATGTTTGTAAAATATAAACTGAATATTTTTAAAAAACAAGATTTATATTTAAATTCAGTGACATAATTAGAAACATAGTTAAACAGCTTAAAATTTCATAATATGGAAGTGTATTGTTGGGTAAAGTTAATGGCTATGGTTTTTGTCACTTTTGAAGATGTTTCTAAAAGCACTGCTTCCTGCTGCACAGCCTCCTGCCAGTCTCCAGTTAGGGGTTGTCTGAGCAACAGTTAACTTTCTGCTTCAGTGTCTTCGAACTCTTTTATATTGAATCAGTTTCTCCTGCCTCAGATATTTTTTAGGTCAATAAATATCTTCTTTTTAAAGTCAGTTATAACTATATTTTTAAATTAAAACCTTTTTCTCATAGATGTTTTATCTTGTATTAACAAGTTTCTTTTTAGTCACAATTATTGTCTGCTTAGTCCTTTGGCCATCATTTTTTGAACTATTAAATTTATTCATTTATTTACTTTCTAATTATCTGTTTATAGGTTTTAAAATGTACAATTTGAATTCTCCTTTGCATTTTAATTGAGTTTGTATTAGTTTTCTTTATGGTTTAAGAGTAATACCTTGGTTTCTGTAGGTTAAGATTAAAAGACTAGCTGTAATTTGAATAGATCAAGTCTATGAAAATTGAAAGTAACCTAGGTGCTACATAAACTTTATTTTCTTATTTTCAAACTAAAAGTAGGAAAGATTAACATGACAAGTGTATTCTAAACTCTTTGAATACAGAAGAGAATATATTTATAGAATTAGCAGGCCTCAAAGTACAAAAGGTAATTGAAAAGTTAACAAACATTAGAAATGCCACATTTGGACATGGGTGGACCAAGGAAAACCAAACCCTAGCTCACCACCTCTCAGTGGAGAACGTTAATATTTATTCTGTAAAGAAACACACAAAACACCAAAAATGGTGTTGAGTATCAAAACACCACAGAACAATCATGTTCCAAATCCTGCATTTATGCCTTTGTTTTGACCAGACCTCAAACAGATTCCATTTAATGGGGAAACAGAAACATTCTTTGAGTTGATTGAATCCGGATTGTCCGTGTCCTAGTACCACTGTACAATTTAGAGTCACATTGTAGTAATTTGCCACCCTGGGAGACCTGATACCTTGTCACTCTAAGCTAAAATCTATGAAATGCCGACCTTTCCCGTTCTTCGCTTAGTCTGTGACTTGTTGGACCTATTTTCTAGGGCCTACACATAGCCTAACAATGGAATAAATTATTTGAATGGAAGATCATGTCTATATTTTCCATATCAGGTATATTTGCATCTGTTTTTTTCTACAGTATGCAGGGATACTGGAGCATACTATTTCTATACATGAATTTTTTAGGTTTCAGACTAGAATTAGTAGTGTTAGAAATATAACTGCGTCTTAGCTTAGCCATAGTTCCTATCTGCTCAGAAGCTGGCTTGTCACTGCTCTGTCCCAGAGGCAGATTAGCCAAATGTTCTCCTGACAGAGGCAGAGGGGGCATTAATCAGATACACCAGAGTTATCAAATACCGTAACTTTACAGTAAGAAGCTATATTGCAGAGAGGCCGGTTTTACGATCATTTTTCTTTTACTGACTCACAAATCTATCTCCCTTTTAAACCACCACTTGACAGTTCTTTATTGTGATGGCCTCAACTCTGGAATACTGTCAGAAATACTTGGGGAGCTTTAAAAATAGAAAGTTTCCCAGCAGAAAACAGACGTACTCTGATTCTGCCCATTTGTTTGACACTCTATCCATTTTAACTTCATATGACTCTTTCTAAAATACTGTATTTTTCTTATCATTCCTTTTCTCCACTTCTAACTGGTAGCTCCAGTGCCTAGTAGCTATGAACAAGTTATTTATCTCTTTAGTTTGATTCACTTATTTAATAAGTATATACTGAATACCTCCTGTGTGCCAGAAACCGTTGTAAATGTTGAGGATAGAGTGGCAGTGGTGAAAAAGATGGCAAAGAGCAAACGTTACACACACATTCCATTTTAGTAATACAGTAAACAAATAAATATATACATACTATCTCAGGTGAAGTTAGAAAGTGATAGGAGTGGTGGAAGAGATCAGGAAGGATTCTGTGAAGCAGTAGTTGAGTCAGGATGTAAATTATGGAAAGAAATGTGCTGTGCAAATAGTAAGCTGAGAAAGGTATAGAATAGAAGATATGGTCATGATTAAGAGTTTAGATATAATTCTCAATACACTGGGGAGCTACTTGAGTGTTTCTTTTTTACTTTTTTTTAAAAAAGCAATAGAGTAATGTAATCTGGTTACATTTTAAATGATCAAGTGGTTACAGCATGAAGAATGTATAGAAAGGAGGGTAGGGGCAGAGAGTCAAGTCAGAAGGGGTTGGAGTCTAAAAAGATGATCATGGAGGTAAGAAATGAATTAGTTTCTACTTCCAGTGAAAACAGAATAGCTTGTATCAGAGGAACTCTTCTCCCAAGAGCCACAATAAAGATTTGGAAAGTAATATAATTAAAATACAACACATAAAAATTTGTACTTAAAGGAAAATAGGTATGCTTAAATAGGCTTATGCATTATTAAGCAAAAGAATAAAGGCTGAAAATTAGTGATCAAAGCTTTACTCTCAAGAAACTATTTTTAAAAAGTACTAAACTCAAGGTAGAAGGCAAGAAATAATGAAGAGCGAAAATTCAGCTAAATTGAAACAAATGTACACCAGAAGAAAATCAACAAAGCCTAAAGTTGGTGTTTTTTTAAAAGATTAATACAATTGATAAGCTTCTAGCAAGACTATTAAAGAAGAAAATAGAGATTGTAAATGATCAGTATCAGGAATGAAGAAGAGCCCAACCCCAGAGACCCTCCCTACATTAAAAATCCTAAAGAAAAATATTATGAATAACTTCACACCTATCCATTTGAAAATGTAGGGGAAATGGGCAAATTCTTTGAAAAAATATCACTTACAAAACTAAGAGAAAGAAAATATCTGAATATTCTGATACCTATTAAAGAAATTAAATCTGTAGTTAAAAATCTTCCCCTAGCAGGCCCATTTTTAAATTGAGTGTTCTTTTTCTTATGGATTTGTAAGACTTACTTGTATTTTATGAATGAGAGCCTTACTGTCTTTTACATGTAATTCAAATATTTTGCTCTGTGACTTGTCCTTTTACTTTCTTAAATGATTACAGTTCATCCCCTGAAATAGGAAGAAAGGTAGAGTATATGGGTATTAATTCAGTTAGGTTGGTCGGTTTGGTGGTTGTGAGAGGAGTTTCCTGTTTTCTAGTGGTGTCTGTGTTTTTTTCCTCATGTAGTAAAGTATGGAATGTATTGTAACCCAACTCACAGTTCTTGGGAGGATGAAATATTTTAATGTGTATCTAAAGGTCTTAAAGCAGAGCCAAACGGCAATGGCTTAGTGGTTGAGCATCAACCTATGAACCAGGAGGACACAGTTTGATTCCCGGTCAGGGCACTGCCTGGGTTGCAAGCTTGATCCCCAGTGGGAAGCCTGCAGGAAGCAGCCAATTAATAATTCTCTCTCATCATGGATGTTTCTATCTTTCTCTCTCTTCCCCCTCCTCTTTGAAATCAATAAGAAATATGCATTTAAAAACACACACATAAAAAGAGCCAAACATACTAGTATATTGTTACATTCCTAAGTGTTTACTGCCCCACAAAAATAGGAGTCTCAAAGAAGTGACCAGAGCAGGAAGCTTTGTATACCTTTTAGACAAAGAAACATACATTTGTGAAGAATTCACAAGGCAGAGGGATTTGGGCTAAGGGTGGTAAATGGTGAAGAAGTAACAAGGTTTGTTTATGCAGCCCTCTCTGACTGGTGATGAGGAGGCCTCCCTTTCCCCTGGCACAGGGAAGTTACCTTTCACCTGGGAGATTTATCTCTTGCTTTGAGGGAACTAGGATGGGGGCAAGGGTAGATCAGAGTGACCTCAAACTTTTTCAGCTTAAGATCCACATTTTGAGGTAGCATGTTCTGAACCCTATCATCTGTAAATTTGTAGAAAGCAAGTTGGAAAAATGATTTGGCCTTATCTACTAACGTTAAAGATATACATACTCTTTGATCCAGCATCTTTACTCCTTTCGTTTATATTATAGTAATCAGCCATCAGTTTTCCCAGGACCATGGGACTTCCTTCCTTTTTTTTTTTTTTACAGTTGACGTACAGTATTTTATTAGTTTCAGCTGTACAACTCAGTGATTTATATAACTTGTGAAGGGATCACCCTGATAAATCTAGCACCATACACCTATCTGGCACCATACATAGTTATTACTGTGTTATTGACTATATTTCTTATGCTATACATTACACCCATGACTATTTTGTAGTTACCAATTTATGCTTCTTAACTCTTTCACCTTTTACACACACACACACACACACACACACACACACACACACACGAAGTGTTGACTACTTTTAATTTTTTCCCCCAAAGAACTTTATTGACAAACAAATTAATATTTGTGTCTCTGGGAAAAAACAACAACAACCTTCATGGTTCACCATATCTAACTGGTAAAGTCTGAAATGTTAAGCCTACTTTCTCATTCCATGGCCCCAAAACTTTTATAAATGGTCTGTTTATCTTCTGTACTAGTAAAAATTCTTTTGTTGAAAGAAAAGAAACTGTTAAACATCATCACAATTTAGCCCTGGCCGGAGTGGCTCAGTTGGTTGGGTGTCATCCCATGCACCAAAAGGTTGTTGGTTCGATTTCCTTTTGGAGAAAATGCCCAGGTTGCAGGCTCGATCCTCGGTAGGGGGCCTGCAGGAGGCAGCTAATTGATGTTTTGCTCTCACATCAGTGTTTTTCTCTCTCCCTTCCTCCTTTCTCTATCCTATATAATAAAGAGGCAATATGCAAATTGACCATCACTCCAACACACAAGATGGCTGCCCCATGTGGTCAAAGATGGCCAGCAGGGAAGGGCAGTTGTGGGTGATCAGGCCTGCAAGGGAGGGCAGTTGGGGGCGATCAGGCCTGCAGCGGAGGGCAGTTAGGGGGACCAGGCCTGTAGGTGAGGACAGTTGGGAGGGACCAGACCAGCAGGGGAGGGCAGTTAGGGGCAATCGGGCCAGCAGGGGAGCAGTTAGGCGTCGATCAGGCTGGTAGGGGAGTGGTTAGGGGGTGATCAGGCTGCAGGCGGAAGCAGTTTAGGGCAATCAGGCAGGCAGGCAGGCAAGCGGTTGGGAGCCAGCAGTCCTGGATTGTGAGAGGGATGTCCCAGATTGGAAAGGGTGCAGGCTGGGCTGAGGGACACACACCCCTGAGCACGAATTTCGTGCACTGGGCCTCTAGTAAATCAATAAAAAAATACTTTAAAAATTATCACAATTTATTATCACAATAACAGAATTCCACAAACATCCAAGAACTGGAAACTAGGTGTGGCCCAGTTTTGTATGGATTGAAATTAATAAATGAGGAAGCAGGACTTTCCCCACATTTCTTATCTAGCAATAGAAAAGAACTAACTTTCTCTGGAGAGCAACTTTTCCTTGCTTCTGTTTTGGTGAAATTCTGGCCTTTTGACTCAAGCTACCACTACTAGTCTCCGTGTCTTTTAAATGAAATTTTAAGAATCTTGAGACTGCTAGCCAGTGGTTTGCCTCTTCCTTCTACTATTCCATCCAGCTACAGTGAAGTGTAGGTTCCCCTAGGCTTATTCAGCAAAAACAAGGGAGTGAGCCCTGGGCAGAGCTAAAAGAGTTTTGAGCTTGGAAAACACTGCTGCTCCAAGCCTGTTTCATCACTGTCTAGATTTGACTCCTTTTTTATCCCTCCTATCTAAGAGCCTGGTGAATTTACCAGAGTTGGAGTCATTTCTAAAGAATGCTCCCCTACCTCTATACTGGTAGTCAACCATAATATATATTGATCAGTGTCACCTTGATTCTCAGCTGTCATTGCACTGTTTTGATTTTCTACATAGTTGATCTTTTTGGACTTTCTGGAGATTTGTGAAAAGGTTGAGTAAAAATGAAAGTAATTGAATTTTAAACTTCTCACTACAAATGCAATCTCTTTTTTTATAATCTCTTTGGATTATAAAACAATTAATTGGTCAGTCCCAACTATTGAATGATGTTATCCCTTTTCTAAGTAAAAATAAATGATCACATTTAGTCAGAATTGTCTGTTTCTGTGATTTTGTGCTAGAATATGCTTCTGGGATATTTTTGTTGTGTGATTGTTCTTCCTGGTCTAAAAATTTGGTAACAGGTTTTTATAATGTTATGGTGGTACCAAATTCAGAAACTCAAGATTAGGATGCATGATAATGAAATTTGGTTCATTATTAGTTGTCTAAATCCTCCCTCTGGAAAGATAGGTGAGAAATTTTCTTAAACAAGCTGAATGAAAGTGTTTTTTATTAAAGAGAATGCACTCTGTTCCTCTTGTTTTTTAAGGGGAGTCATTTTATTTAGCATATTGATTTGGGTATAGAAATAGAACATAAGTCTTCTGATTACATTCTTTGATTCAAAAAAAGTCTCTAATCCAACTAGCTCAGTATTAATGGTTCTAGTTTCTTCAGAGGACAGGAAGTTAATCTGACATGCTTAACCCTATACCTTCAGAGAAATAAAATATATGCTATATATAATCAAAATTTACCTATTATCTACTTAAAATTTTTTAGTCTTTATCAAATATATATTTTGGATGATAATTGATAATATTTACATATTAAAATGCTTATATTGAGCAAAATATGTTTTAATTTCAGTTTTTTTCCACATGTTTGATTCTTTCTTCTTCCTTTTAGGGTAGAGCCTGGATCAGAGTTGCACTCATGGAAAAACATTTATCTGAATACATCTCTACAGCTCTGAGAGACTTCAAAACAACCAGGTTTAAAATCCTTTTAATTTTCAAATATATACTTAAAAGAAACACCTAAAGACTTAGAAATAAGAATAGAATGAAGACTCATTTCTTTCTAAAGTCCTCATTATTTCCTTCTTTTCGTACTACTCAGATAAATTCACTGTCTTCTCAGGAAACTGAAGTTTATCAACTAAACATATATCTACCATGGTTTATCTTTCCAGGCTTCACATTGTGCCTGGAATAAATCTTTTAAAATTACTTCTAATTCTCACTTTTTTGACAATTGCAGTTTCATTCTTTAAACAGACTTTTCCCTGGCCAATTTGAAGAAAAATACACTAAATTCTACAGCATTCCTTTTCTTTCCTCACTACATCATTTATTTCTTTGCTTATAAAAAATATACATGGACCATTCACTTCTTTAATTCACATATATTTTTATGTTTATATTTATTTACTTATTATAAATATGTATATAATTCACATATATATTTATAATTAATGACTGCCTGATTGTCTTTTTAGGGCAGCCTGTACCAGTGTGTGTGTGTGTGTGTGTGTGTGTGTGTGTGCGCGCGCACACGCGCGCGCGCTTTGGTTTATATAAACTTAAGAGGTGATATATTGTGCCATGTGAAAAACAGGACTTTATTGACTTTATTATTAATTTTTTTGGTAGTAAAAAGAGGGTTCATATTAGGAAAAGAGTCATTCCTATTAAGCTCAGAGGTCTACTAATTTATGTTTATAGCTAATGTTAAAAAACACTTTTCTCCATTTCAAAAGTATTTGTAAATGAAAATACTCAATAATTTAAATGCCATAGACATGTACTATTCAGTACAGTAGCCACTAATAACATATAAAAAATTAAAATAAATTTAGTTATGTAAATTAAAATTAGTTAAAATTAAATAAAATTACTAATTTAGTTCAGTTGCTGTATTGAACAATTCAGGTGTTCAATAGCTATGTGTGGCTTATGGATACCAAATTAGCACAAATAATAGAACATTGCTTCCTCATAGAAGGTTCTATCAGACACACTGCCTTAGACATTTTTAAATTGCCATACTTATTAACCATGAAAGAGAAGAAAAGAGTGAAACAGCTCTAAACCAGTTTTGATAGAGAAAATTAGGCAGAAATATAAAGAAAGCATATATCTAGAATCTTAATTTTCATGTCCTGATGCAGTATTTTTTATTTTGGATTTAGAAAAAAATCTGGGCATTTATTATGAGATATTCTGCATAAAGTAAATCTTATATATACTTATTGACTTTTCTTTAAAGCAATATGATACTCCAATGAACTTTATGACATAAAACATTTGTTTCTTATTTCTTTTATTTATCATTACTAGTAGATTTAATTATGAAAGATAAATGTTGAAAATACTTTTGAAAATAAAAATAGTATCAGAAAATTATAGATCAAACCTAAAAATCCTAAATTAATGAAATGAAAACCAAGTTTATACAGTAATCATCTCCTAGGCCCGTAGTCAGCAAACTGCGGCTTGCAAGCCACATGCGGCTCTTTGGCCCCTTGAGTGTGGCTCTTTCTAAGCCTTAGGAGTACCCTAATTAAGTTAATAACAATGTACCTACCTATATAGTTTAAGTTTAAAAAATTTGGCTCTCAAAAGAAATTTCAGTCGTTGTACTGTTGATATTTGGCTCTGCTTACTAATGAGTTTGCCGACCACTGTCCTAGGCAATAACAAGATTATATTAAAATTATGATAGTCTTTTCTAAATAGAAGTTAAAGCATTAATAATATCTCTAAGTTGTTAGTCTTGTTTCTTAATTTATTCAGTTGGGTGGGGTAGAAATAATTCTTGAATAGACTATTTTTACAATGAGTAGTTTAAATATTTAAAGGGAAATGCTTTTTGTCTTGTTCTTAGGTGTTAGGTATGTTTTTTTAATAAAAAGGAAATGATTCAGCTCTAAAAAAGTTCATGAAGTACAAATATTCTTGCAACAATATATAAACATATATTATTCAAACAGAAACACGCCTTAGTATATGTTCATACACATAAACCAATACACACACACACAATATTTCAATGTCAATATAATGGCTCTGTAATTCTCAAGAAAGGAACTAAGTAGGAAGTTATTTTAGAATTCTTATTTTAGAAGTTAGCTTAAAAATGAAGTTTTGAAAAGACGGCCTTTTTTAGCTATGTTTACTATACTTTTTTTTACTAAAATCAAACCAAATAAATTTCTTAATTATAAATAAATGTAATTGTGAATTTCTAGGCAAAACATACCTATTTGGAAGTTTAGGTTTATAAAACACAAGCAAACTATTAGAAAGAATAGTTATACCCTACCTTTTGTCTGGATGTTCTCTGACATAAGTGCTGTAGAAATGATCTCTAATCCTTTCGAAATCTTGAGATTATCTGAACTGAGTGATTTCTTCTTGTTCCACTCTTCACAGATAAAGAGTAATGACATCCTTTACAATGGTGATACAAGTTTTTGCCCCAGTACAGAAGGAGGAGCTACTTGAGCTAACACAGGCCAGCCTGAAGTACTAATCAGTGAAAATCCAGGGATAAGATTGGGTGGAGGAACTGTGGGAAACAAACACAGTAAATCCTCATCTTGAGCAAATGATGATATGCTAAAGTATTAGAGAAATCCGTGTGATCTTTTTACTAAGGTGGAGGATGTCTTGGTGAGCAATTGAAAACAAATCCTTGAAGAGTTTCATGATGTAATAATATAGGGGTTGGGATGTTATTGGGAAATAGAGTTGGGAAATGGGCAGAGTCAATATTAGAATCTAAACTAAAAAAATAAAATAAAATGGCGCGGGGATTGTTTTAATAGGTTACTGGGAAGACCTAGGAATAGGGAAGTAAGGTAGAAGCTGAAATAATTTGCTCAAAGTTTTAATTTTCCCACACCCACAGGCTGAAAAATAATTAGAAAAGTTAAGCTAGTCCTGGCCGGTGTTGCTCATTGGTAGAGCGTCTGCCCACGGACCAAGGGTCATGTGTTCAATTTCAGGTCAAGGGTATGTACCTGGGTTGCAGGTTCATTCTCTGGTGCCGGTCAGGGTGTGTGCGGGAGGCAACCAATTGATGTGTCTCTATCACATTGATGTTTCTCTCTCCCCGTCTCCCTCCCTACCACTCTCTCTAAAAATCAATGGAAAAAAAATATCCTTGGGGGAGGATTTAAAAAAAAAGTTATAGAGACCTGTTTATTACTTTGTAATTGCACCACAGTACCTTAATTAATGACAACAGTTGTCTTCAGAAGAAATGTTCATTTTCTCAATATTAAAGTAGGGTTAAGAGGAGTAAAATGTAAAATTAAAATTTAAAGCCCTACCCGGTTTGGCTCAGTGGATAGAGCATCAGCCTGTGGACTCAAGGGTCCCAGGTTCGATTCTGGTCAAGGGCATGTACCTTGGTTGTGGGCACATCCCCAGTGGGGAGTGTGCAGGAGGCAGCTGATCGATGTTTCTCTCTCATCGATGTTTCTGGCTCTCTATCTCCCTCCCTTCCTCTCTGTGAAAAATCAATAAAATATATTTTTAAAAAATTAAACTTTAAAAATTACCAAGCTAGACTTCTAGTCAAGATGACAGGGTAGATACACACAGTACTCACATCCTCCTATAACCATATCAAAATTACAACTAAACTACAGAACAACCATCATTAAGAACCACCTGAAATCTAGCTGAATATAAGTCTTACAGCTAGGGATTTTAAAAAAGAAGCCACATTGAGACTGGTAGAAGGGGCAGAGACATGGAACAGGTTGGTCCCACACCCACATGTGGTAGATAAAAAGCAGGAGGGATATCTCCCCTGCAGAGGTCTCCTCTGAGGAGTGAGGGGTATCAGTCTCACACTAGGCTTTCAAGCCCAGGGTTCCAGTGCTGGGAAAAGAAGTCTCCATAATTTCTGGCTGTAAAAACTTGTGGGGATTGAGGCTGAGTGAGACAGAGTGCTGCTGGAGTCCTAGGCAGTTCCTCTTAAAGGGCCCACATACAGACTTACTTTAACTCGTTTCCTCTGAGCTCCAGTGCTTGGGTAGCAGCTCAAAAGGCACTAGAGTCATACAGGGAGGAACTGAATTGCCAGGCATCAGGACGAGAGCAGGGGGCAGTGGAGCAGCTTTCTTCCAGACAGAAGTATAGGCAGAGGCCATAGTTCTTTGATAATCTCTCCATCTCAGCAGGTGGGCAACATATCTGAGTCTCCATCAACCTGGCTATTGCTGTTTGCCCTTCCCTGGTGATTTCCTAAGACTCCCCCCACCCCGTCTCCCCCACCTAATTTTTGGGCCCACTGAAGCTATTTTCAGTGGCTTTTCCATACAAATGATCTGTCTTTGCTCATGCTTCATACTTTTCTAAAATCTCTCAAACATGCGTATCTGGCCCAAGTGTGCCCTGCACCTCTTGCTGAATGGCTCCAGGCCCAGCATTAGCAGCAATGGCTGTGGTTAGCAGGTAGGCCTCTCCTGAGCACCTCCAAGCCCAGCACAAGTAGCAGCCATCTGCAAATCACTTTGTAGCTCAAGCCAGGTGGCACTGGTCAGACACAGGTGGCGGCTGACCTTCGCATGACCTTGTCCCCTCCTGGGACAGCACACCCAGTGGACAGCTTCAGACCATGTTGAAGAACCACCCAAACACCTCCACAGTGTCACACTCAAGATGCGGAATTAGCAGGCACCAAAATGGTGCTGAAGTAAGTCCTGCTCTGAGGGGCAGGCCTCTGCATAGCTATCCTCCATGGTGGTTGGTTGAAGCCAGTCATTGCGGCCGATTGTCCTGGGGGTGAATCCCTCCCATTACATGCCAACATAAATCAAGGCTCATCTACAAGAGGAGGGTGTATACCACGCATGTCAAACTTAAAGGCTAACACAGGCCAAATAAACAAGGCATGTGGCCCGTGGGCTGTGAGTTTGACATGCTCGGTGTACACAGATCACATGGGGAAAGGGGCATACCTGGAGTGCCCAGCTCAG